CGGACTATACCTGGGGCACGCACTGCGCCCTGGACATGGCTTGGATCAAGGGACAATGGTGTGATGTGACGCGAGCATGTCACAGATGTACCAGGGCGCCTAATCTGCGATGAGACCGCGCAGGAGGGCATCACAGTAGTAGCACAGAGATCGGGAGGAGGGCGTACGTAGATGGGCAAGACGAGATTTGGCGATATCTCATGCGCCATGTGTCTGTCTTGCAGGCTAGTCTCTTTCTTTCGAGCGACGCTATCACCAGCGTGGTGTGCGTTTTAATTCTATGCTCGCAGGTGGATGCATAAGGGGAGGTGCTGCTTGGGCAGGACTTGTGTCTCACTTGAGCTACAAAGTCAACAGAGAATCATGGATGAGGTCTGGGATGCTGCTCTGACTTGCGAAGAAAAGGTTGTTAGACCTACTTCACATGTGGATGATTGGGGCTGAACGTCCTGGATACATCCGGTCTCCGTTTGCTTCATGTCTGAAGGGGTTCTCGGTGACATTGGTGCGCGTCGTATATGCTGAATTAACCCATGTTGGTTTCCAGGCGTGTTGTACCGGGCATGTCCTGGTATGCTAGTGTTCAAAGGATTGGTGGTTCGCGGTATGGACTGCCGTGCGAGGCTCAGCGTCGGGCGTCTGAATTGGGAGCCACGATATATTCGACCTCGCGCATCCCCATTTTTGCATTTACACCATCACTGGCATGCATTTTTTTGTCTGATCGTTGAAAGCAATCTTCACTCGCTCTGGCTTGAATATTGCCCGCGGGGCTCATCCCAAAGGCTTCTACACTATCGTTCTTCCCCGCATTTTCGTTTTCGTTTGCTTCCGTCGACATGCCCAACGTCGCTCCCACTCAAAAAGCCTCCGACGCGGCAGCTCACGCAGAGTCCTCGCAGCAGGCAGTGTCCTTGTCTCATTTCCGCCTGCCTAGCTACCGCTCCTCCTACCTCGAGAGGTTCCATCCATATGTCAGAACCAGGGCGCGAAGGAAGGTAGACCTGATGGTATGTTTCCCACTTTATCCACATGGCGCTGTGATGGTGATCGATGTTTGACGCTATAATGATGTACCGCTGGGTCAGCAAACGGTCGATTATCGCTATGACCATGGGGTGCCATACAGGCCCAGTTTTGCGCTGGTGAGCTTCATGATTCGCATTGTGCATTGTACGTGTTGCACTCATCGTTGCTGCGCAGTCAGTTGTTGAAGAGGAGGACGAGGAAGTTGTCAACAACCTGGCGGCGCTCGTTCCTGCGGCGGAGGGACAGGAGAGTGTTCAGCGTCACAACAAACTGAGGCGTCTTGGTATAGTTGAGCTTGTCATAGTGCGTGTCTTATTGAAATATTTGGCTCGGTGTGTGATTCTGACCCCACGTCTCAAGGATCTGGCGCTGGCGATGCGTCGCAGATTCCGCAAGTCTTGAAGTTATGGTTTGACAATGAAGATGTAGATTTTCTGGAAGAAACCAATCCTGTCCGCCTTTTCTTGCTGTTTGCGCTCTCTTGGTAGATAATGCTGCTCTAATGTATACGTGTATATAGATTCGCCGGTCGCTTGATGTGTAGCTCATACCTGGTTGCGTTCACGCAATATGGATCCTTGTTCTGTCAAACTTCGTTTGCGCGTTGCCAGCGACCGTTTTCGAGACCGTCTGACGGATCATATGCCTGGAATGGCAGTCTCAGATTCGCGCCTCTGATGCTGCTCGAGTCGACCTGTCACTTGATCTTGAAGATGCCTTTCATTCTACACGTACAGCTATGGTATATACATATTATGATAATCCTCTACCTACCACACATCTCAAAGTCAGAATCCAGGTCAAAGAGGGCAAGTCCATCCAATATTACCTCCTGACGAGCATTGATATTCTTGCGAAGCTGGCACCTCGGGTCATAATTTTCCCTGTACTGAAGACAGCATGGTCAATTACTTTGTGGGTTTGATGCCGGGGATGTCAACAGTCAGAATATAAAAGTCCAATAAGAAATCACTCAGCCCAGGTGTTGTACTACGGACTCCGATGAGTCACCATATACCTATTTTGGAAGGCGACCGGTGATCGGTACTGCCAACTCATCTGGTAGTACGTGCCAGTGGTAGGCCCCTGTTGTAGAAGAACTTTCGACGCCTATTACCTTGTACGATGTCTGTGATCTTGGTAACTGGCGGGACTGGTCTTGTTGGAAAAGCAATCCAGCACATCATTGAGACTGAACCTGAAGGCTCTCGGTTTGGCAAGAAACCTGGAGAGCAATGGATCTTTGTCAGCTCGTCCGAGGGCGATCTGAGGTATGTTGCTTGAGCAAAAATGTGTCCGTTTGAGATGGTCTGATCGTCGAGCAGAGATCCAGAACAGACGAAAAGACTTTTTGAAAAGTACAAGCCCACACATGTCATTCACCTTGCGGCACTTGGTGCGATTGGTTGCGTTCTGCACAAATGCTAACTGGCTTATATTTCCTGTCTTAGTCGGTGGGCTCTTCAAGAACATGAAGTATAAAGTATGGCCAGGAAATGCCCTGCAGTTATCATTGCTCACAGTGTAATCCCTCAGCTGACCTTCTTGCGAGACAATATCCTTATCAATGACAATGTACTTCACAATGCGTACCTTTCCCAGACGAAGAAAGTCATCTCTTGCCTCTCGACCTGTGTCTTCCCAGACAAGGTCACCTATCCACTTGATGAAACAAAGATACATCTTGGATTGCCCCATGACAGCAACTTTGGCTATGCGCATGCGAAGAGGATGGTAGACGTGCAGAACCAGTGGGTACATGTAACATGGACAGGGTATCTGTGCTTAACGCTCTTGCAATAGCGCATACAAAGACCAGTTTGGATGCAATTTCACCTCTGCGATACCAACGAACGTGTTCGGTCCGCATGACAACTTGTGAGTCTCTCGTACTTTTTGCCAGCTCTCTCCTAACGCGAAAACGTTTTCAGCGATTTGGAAGGCGCGCATGTGATACCCGGACTGATTCATAAGTGTCATATTGCTAAAAGTGAATACTCATATGGATGCGCTTGTAGTGGCCGGACTCATGATTCGTCCTTTAGAGAATGGCACGCCCTTCGTCGTCTCAGGCACGGGGAAACCGCTCCGGCAATTCATCTATTCTAACGACCTCGCGAAGCTCTTCATTTGGCAACTTAGAGAGTACGATGATGTCGAGCCGGTCATTCTCTCAGGTTAGACATAGTCAATTTCCTGAACACTCTCGCTGACATTACATCTAAACTAACTTTGAATGCTTAGTGGGCGAAGGGGAGGAAGTTAGTATCAAAGAAGTCGCCGACGCTATTGTGAAAGCAATGGATTTCAAAGGCGAGTACACTTTCGACGCGACTCGCGCAGACGGCCAGTTCCGTAAGCCAGCCTCGAATAAGAAGCTCTTGTCGTTGATGGGTGGCTTCCAATTCACTCCTTTCAACGAAGGTGTGTACTGCATAATTGCATGACGTACCATCAGGAACTAATGAACACGGCAGCCCTCGATTTCACAGTCAAGTGGTTCGTCGAGAATTATGATAAGGCTCGAACTGGCGTGAAGGCGTGAACTGGGGAAAGAAATGTGAAGCTGCGTGTACGAACATTAGATACTCCTAAGGATGATGCAGTTGGACTGTTGATTGTGTTGTTCACGTATCATATTCCTCGGATCTCTGGATACCACAAGCTGTGTGCGGCGATCAGGATCCCGATCGGCGCTGAGTGGCGTATTGCTCCCTGACAATTCATTCACCTCATCATGTTATTCGTTAGGACACAGTTATATTTTAGGTCAGGACGGCTGTGCGTGAGATACAATACCATATTTACTTTATCAAGAGTATCGTCAATTTGAGTGTACCTGAAGGCGCGAATATAGCCTTTTAGTTGACAGCGGAGTATATGCCGCATACATATCTTGACGGCTCAAGCTCACGCAAGGCGTCGCAACCTCTAGGTCCGACAACCCGGCTGGCGTGTCACAGTGTACAGTAGCTTGAGCGCAATTTTGAACAACTAGCTCAACGCTGCGCCAGAAATTAGAGAAAATGAAAGCCACTCGCCCTCGGTGAGCCTCGGAGTATTGGGATGCTGATAAGAAGCTCAATTGCAGTTGACGATTGCTGTGGGTGACGGGGTATAAATATTGACCGCCATAACAATAGTATGCAATTGCAAGCTATTTTGTTCATAGCATCGGGGTGGATGTTCTTTGCCGTATGTTGGCGTAACGGACGGGCTCAGATAATTTCGGAGCTTCTTGAATGCATCTGTCTTATAGCTTTGTTTCGTTTTTCTTTACTGAATCACTGAAAGCTGGAGAGATCTACGACCTGTTGAAAACGCCGCTAGGATAACAAGTGGGCTGAACGCACATTGGTGGGTATATTCGCTCACATTATCACATATATCGAACTCGAGGGATAGCCCTATTGCAAGACTATCCCTCCGACGTTGTTCTGGGCGGAGTACAAATTGTCAGAAAACCTGTGTAGAGTGCAAAAGCATACCAACATGATACCGACACGTCCTCTTTCGAATGCTACATGCAATGATGAATACCCACCACTCTCCAAGTGCACTCTATGACCTGCAACCCGCGCCGCAGAAACGTCTGTTCGAGGCAATATAGGCTCATATACAACCCAGCCTAGACATTTCCGATTGTCGTTTCTTTGCTCACCAGCCAAATCCCTTGAGAAATAGAAGGCTGTACGCTTCTGCGGTGCAATCCTTTTGACCATTCCTCCGGGACGAGCTCTCCGTCTCGTCGAAGCGGTCGTAGTGTGTCGATGCCGGAATACTGTGCCGGGATATCGATTTTCTTGACTGATGAGACTGAGAATCCGAAGAGTTGTGTAGTGAAACGCAGGTCATCCCGTCCAATGGCCAGAGGGTCAAGAACTTGAAGGGAGCAGATTAAGGCGATGAGGCTTTGAGCGTATGCGACAGGGGGGGTGCGTTTTTGGAAACAGTGAACTTTGGCAAAAGCCTTCCCTTACAGACCAGGGGGGATTCAGGCTGACAAGAGGATTCGTGTGCGAGCCACCGTTCGTCGATGTGTGGCCGCAGTTACCAATGATGGCTTCGTGGGACTTGGGGCTCAGCGGCCGCGGCTGGACAGGGCTGGACGAACCCTTTGGGCTTGCCGCGCCTGAATCTTGTCCCACAACATCGACCATGCTTGCTGACAACTTGCTGCTTGCACACATAGCTTTCAATGCTGTAGTCGTCTCGTTGAAGCCTTTGAAAGTGATTCAAGCGGTCCACAGCACGCTTACCTTTCTCGAGGACGTCTCCCATCTGCTATATTTTTGTCTTCTCAAACAACGGTCAGAAATTCTGCTCACTGCGCTCTGTTCTGTGTATTCACATTCTGAAGCGATTCGCTCATGGAATAGGCCTGTTTGCAGGCGAAGGATGATGTCGCCATCTGGACGACGGGTGGCAGAGTCGAGATGCCTCAATCTCCTGGCTTGCGCAAACTTCCGCAGATTATGGCGTATGAATGTCTTCGTGCACTCGTATACTTGAAAGGCTCTGCCACTCTTGCAGCAGTCTGCCTTCACTTTTCACTGTTGATTGGGCGATTTTGACGTTGGTGAGTGTTGAATCGATCTCTTCTTTTGATCACACTTCAAGAAATTGGCTATGGTGCTTCTTGTTCTCGTCTTCACAAAGATATTGGGATTTGATGTGTTTAGTCGGATTGTGCACAGACACTTCATTCGAACGTAGACTGGTCTGGGGAGATCCATCATGGATTTGGCGAAGAGATGATGCGTGACGTGACAGTGTTTTTGTCACAGATAATGGCAGGCGTCTATATGGTTGCAGCGCATTAGCGCGACTGGTGGATCGGGGAGAAACGTACGTTGGGACAGGATTCTGGACCCACAAATGACATCGTGCATCAGGTCAGGAAGGGAATGCTCATACGGTTTCTAGACCTGTAGCCATGCACCATAGACAAGAGTCTATTCTGTGCCAAACATCAATTCAATGGAGTGGCAGATATATGCCATATCTCCTCTCAAATGCTTGGGGACGCTGAGCACTTACGAGTGCCTTATGTTTAAGATGGTTGCGGTGTTGCTATAAGAGTCTGGTTCTTGCGCGGACTGGGTAGTCGCGCACAAGCTATTTTTCTATTCTTGTGGAGGTCGTGTGGCAGACACTCGTCTTGTCGTTCCAGACCCGACGTGCAAAGGGCCTTTGAGCGTCGGCGATGAAGCCCCCGATTCAGATGGAGTGTTGACGAGTGTATTTGGTGTTCAGTGAAGCCCAGTCCATGACGAGTGCTGGTCGCCTGGTACAAAGTCTCATCCCGGGCGTCTGCACCACCAGAGAACTAAGCGGGGGTGTACGTACAAGAGTGCGACTGAGCCTGCAAAAAATTTCCTCCTCGACCTTCACGACTATCCCTCTGTTGGTTTGAGTGTGGTACATTTCAAATTCCTTGCGCCTTTTTATCCCGCTCTTCACTCTCATTCTAAATGCTTGCTCTTTCCATTACCCAGCCCAGCACCGTTAGCCCGTCTCATGGTATTCCCGAGCTCCTAACACAGCCTGATTCTCGTTTACCCCCCTACCGCTCATTGTTCTTGAGTCGTTATCATCCCTATGGCAGGACCACGGCGCGTCGTAGGGGAGGAGACTCGATAGTGAGTGTTGCGCGTCATACACACATGGGGCGTTGATGCACGATCGATGTTTGACCGGTTTAACTCACGTCGTGTGTCAGCAAACGGTGGGTTGTCGCTTTTATGACGAGGGACAGTACAGGCCTAGTTTGGCTCTTGTAAGCTACATCATCTTTTGAACATCATGTCGACGGTGTCCTTCATTTCTTTTTGCAGTCGGTAGTTGAGGAGGAAGATGAGGAAGTCGTTAATAACCTCGCTCTTCTCGTTCCTGTCGTACATGGAGAACAACCTGTCCAGCCGCGCAACAGGTTGACGCGTGTTGGAATCGTTGAGCTTGTCGTTGTATGTTCTCTCTCTCTTTCGCGTTCTGATTTGAATTTGATCGATGAGCACAAGGATTTGGCGTTGGCAATGCGACGTAGATTCCGGAAGTCTCAGGGCAAGACAGCGACGCCGCTGTAGGGGTGTCCGGCGCTCATCGAGGAAGATGCCACCTAGTTGAAGTACTAATGTGACTTTGTGTATAAAACTTGCTCTTAATCATGTACAATAGTAATTGGGAATGATATGGAACTCTTATACCTTGAATTTACATAACCTAAAATGGCCAACAACGAAACGGGTGCACGAGCGCCATTGCGCCTCTCGCTCATATCGTCCGTCTGCATCATTAGTTTTGCCGAGGCTTGCTCAATAGTCACTCTCGACATGGAATTAAAATCGACTCCGCAAACATCAGTGACAGCTACGTATGGGGATACTTGACGCCCAACTCGTGCTTCGCGCCGTGCGCGCATCCACCACTCCACACCATGACATAGTATTTCAAAGCCACGGTCGCTTCTTGCACTCTGCGGTTCCCACTATCGCCATACATATAATGGTGGATCAATCCAATGGGTGTTTTCAATCGCATTATCCGCAGCGGAGCATCTGCATCATTCACGACTTGAAGCTTGAATATCTCTTGACCTAATTGCGGTAATGACACACAAGTTCTCAGAGCCATATTCTGGCAAAAATCCAGTTCCAAAGATTGCTACCAAACTCACCTCCCTTGTCAATCCGGAAAGGGCGACGGATGCGAAAGCTGAGCAGCTACAAGACCGGTCTGGTCAGCGCCAGGAGAAAGAGACAGAGAAGATCGCGCGGAGACTAGCCAAAGGCCATGTAATGCACACAACAGATCCGACGACTGGCGAGGACTTGGACATTCGAAATGCAGACGAGGAGCCTGATTTAAGCACAAAGGGCGAGAATGTATTGCGACACGAGTTCCCACCACCTGGTACGCTCCTGAGTCCGCACTTATTGCGTCGATCTGCGTTCAATGATAATTCACGGCAGATCTCGTGAAGCATCAAAAAGTTGTGGTAGGAGTCACGTCATCCAGTATCGTTTGCATATGCGCCGCATACACCGTATTGTTCTTCCTCTCTGGTCTGCTTAACGCATCTGCTTGGCTCTCTTTCCCACTATTTCTGCTCCCGCCTTCACTCCTTGCATATGTACTCCATTTTCGCATGCAGAACATATCCCAAGGAGACTTTGAAGACCGTGCATGGCATACAGAGCGCATCCGAGGGCTTCGCGCTGGATCTGACCTAGATGGAGACGGTCAGATTGAGGATGAAGAGCGTACACGCGAGAGCACTGAGTGGGTAAACTCCGTTTTGCGGGGTGTGTGGCCGATCGTGAATCCAGATATGTAAGTGTGCAGTTGTTGTATTGTAGTTGTTTTTTGACTCGATCTTTGAATACGGCTTCTAGGTTCGCTGCAGTGTTGGATATGGTCGAGGATATAATGCAGTCATCTGCTCCCTCTTTTGTTGTGCGTACCTTCCTGTATCCGTGCGAAGTTGGGTTCATGTTGACGATCCAATAGCATTCTGTTCGCATCTCCGATCTGGGACTTGGGTCAAATGCAGCACGCATAACGTCTATTCGTTCCCTTCCAGACGCACATTCTGGGAGTAAGGATGCTATAGCTGAGTCCCTCGAGATAGATTCTGAAGACATGAGCCCCGATGATCGCGAAGCCCTTGACGGTGACCACGTCAATCTCGAGATTTCTTTTGCGTATCGTGGACTACCCAGTGGTGGTTCTGCCGCAAGCAAAGCAATGAACCTGCAGTCAGCATCACTTTGGCTTCTGGTACTGGCGCTTCGTTGACCTCTCTCGCTTAATTATGTAGTTTGTTGGTTGAATTTTTCGTTGGAATGAGGGGCATACTTGGATTTCGGTTTCGTGAGTCGTGGTGATTTCACTTTGTAGATCGTTTTGAATGAATGTATTTTTGTAGCTGTCTGGGTGGAGGTCACAGGTGCTGTAGGCACCGCACGTGTGCGGCTGCAGCTTATTCCTAGCCCACCTTTGTAAGTTGTGATTTCTGAGGCCTCCCATAGAATGGCATCATGCTCACTGCGCGATATATTCAGTATGAAGAAAACATTGGTGACATTACTTGGTTTACCGCACATCACAATCTCTGCCACGCCTCTTAGTGAGAAGCTCCCGAACATCATGAACATACCCTTCATCTCCGGATTCATCTCCAGTGCCATCAACACTGCCGCTGCGGAGTACGTTGCACCCAAGAGTTTGACATTCGATTTGCAAAGACTTATGAGCGGCGATGATATCAAGAAAGGTAACGTTGATCTCTAGAGCCTAATGCTTCGATAACTCAATACTATTTACATGTTTGATCCGTGCAGATACTGACGCTATTGGCGTACTTGTGGTGCATATCCATCGTGCAACAGGTCTTGAGGGTGCTGATATTGATGGTAGTTCAGGTGCGTCGAAATGCAATTGATGGCGTCGAGTCTAACCCCAATACCTTTGTTGCCAGTAGACCCGTACATGACTCTGACTTTCTCGCGGCTTGAAAAACCACTGTATTCCACTCGGATCATTAAGGGTGATTGTAATCCTGTCTTTGAGGAGACTGCGGTAGTCTTGGTTGACACTAATACTGTGAAATTACGGGAGAAACTGAGTCTCCAGCTCTGGGACTCCGACCGTGTGAGCATGGTGAGCAACTACCGTTCATACTCGTGTTAGTTGACTCATCTTCTTCAGGATGACATGCTCGGCTATCATGAAATTGACATCGTGAATCTCATGAGACAACGAGGCAAACCTATCCGTCGTGTCTCTCGATTGTCAAGTCCGGATTCAAAACAACGCCCTGGTTCCGTAGAGTTCACAGTAGGGTATTTCGGGAAGCTCCTACCCAATCCATCGTTGTCGACTGATGGATCAGATCCCGGCATTCCGGACGATCTCAGAGACAAGCCAGAGTTTAAAGAAGCACGCGCCATGGCTCTGAATGATCTAGAGGCGGCAGTGCTCACAACTCCTCCAGATACAGCATGGCCATCGGGGATATTGAGCGTGCAAGTGCATGAGATTCGCGATCTTGTCATCAGACAAAGTGGAGCGGAGAGAACAGGGAAAGATAGAGGTGGTGAGAAGGGTCAGGAAGAGGGAGGGGTGGCACGCGAAGAAGGGGAAGGGCTCCCATCCTCTTATTGCACCGTGTGAGTGACTTGGGAATTCCTCGGCTGGATGTGTTGGCTGACTATTGGATTTTGCAGCTCCTTGAATGATGAGCTGGTGAGTATTAGGCTATGTGTATGGCAGGGCACGAATGGCTAAATACATAACAGGTCTACGAAACTCGCGTAAAACCCATAACCAGTTCGCCCATGTTCAATGCGGGCACTGAGCGATTCGTCAAGGATTGGCGTAAATCTCACGTCACAGTTACCGTTAAGGACTACCGCATGCGAGAGAATGATGCTGTTCTTGGCGTCGTTTTCCTGAAGGTCTGTTTGCGTTGCTTGTCTGTTATTATTCATGCTCTGACCTGTATGAACCTAGCTGGCAGACCTATTCGTAAATGCATCCGAGCTCGATCGCTCTTACTCTCTGCA